TTTGACATCACCCTTAGATGTTGCTTGACACCGTGATCATGATGCTTTTGTACGTGTCAAACTTGATTGTCAACTGTCGAAGGCGAGTCACAGTCGTACCCCCATATGCCTCTCTTAAATGTGCCCACATGGCTTGAGCAGTAGGATATTGCTCACATTCGTGGATGAGATCATCAGCAACTGAACTTACAATAATTCCACGTGCAGTGGAATCTTTCTTCTTCCAACTCTTGTGTTGGGCAGTGTTACCCTCCTCTGGCTGACTCATAGCATGGTTAATACTTTCAAGAGCATCTTGCTCTTCGAGTACACCACATCTTACGACTCCAGATGTCGTAATTTTTTCCATTCAATTTGTCACCCTTGTTCAACTCAGCAATGATACTTTTTGATGCCATGTCTGTTATTCGAGACAATATTACAAGTTTAACTCATCAATATATACTTCAATCAATTTATGCATGTGGTTACACACTCAAGTAAATTAATTATAATATTAATTCTACATTTAGTATAGAATCGAACGGTCACTACGTTTCCATTCATCATCTATATTTAAATATTTTTAATTAATATTAAAATCACTTCTTAGTGTGTACTTTATTTCAAGTCTCAATCCATTACACAAAAAAATGATAAAGTATGTATGTAACTGGTGAGACAAATAACACAATTTAAATTTCATTAAGATAAAACACATAATAACAATTTACATGTTTGCTAGTACATACATGTACCAATTGAACACTAACTCTTGCTCATATACGCTAAAAGGTGCACTAGGCCAAACATCATGATAAATCTCAGTTAAAATTTCACCCCAAGGCTCTCGAAGAGAGTCCGCTAAAATAGCTAATGCTTCCCAATCAATAATTTCTATGTTTCTTTTAAGCAATCCACTAGGCAGTGCCTAGGGCTAGTTTTTATTTATATAAAAAAATCAAAACATAGTTTGTCAGGAGGTCTAACACAAGAAAAGGCATAAAATTTGAAAAATACATACGACCTATTACCAATACTGAGCATAGTACTCCATATTGGCATTACATTATGAGCACTAGCAAAACTACAAATTCTATGATTAACTAAACCAATGTGTGTAAGAAAATGAATCACTGTCCCTACTATCATTGTGTGTTTTCCTCTTCCTTGATGCTGTACTGACACAATTGCTATCCAGCTGATGATTAAGTTCCCCATATTTTCCACGTACCAAGTGCACCTGTACAAGTACTGCATTGTTCCTACCCCCAGCTGCCCGCTTGCTTCCTTTTTGTTCTCATTTTTGCTTATCTTCCTCTTCTTTTTTGTTGATTCCCTCCAATGAGTGTGTTTCTGATATGTTCTTGTATACTGAAATGTTGAAGTCCCAGCCCCATGCATTGTAGCTTTATCCGCAAATTGTAGCCAAAGTTCTGTGGATTGCCATCTCGAAATCAGCTCTAATATGACTTGTTTGAGCTCCATTTCCTGATTGATCACTATCTTTTGGACTGGCCTTTTTATGAGTGTTGATCCCTGGGATGCTGAGTTGTGAAACTGCATTTAGCTTTTGTTCCAAAGTACAGTACTCCTGCCCAGAAATCTTGACAAAGATCTGCTGCATGCATGATAATGTAGATGAGTCTGGGCCAAAATTTTGCCCCTTCCTATATATGCTGCTATTCTTATGCTCACCCATGGTTCCCCTACACTGGATTGAGTACATTGTACTAATACCACCAGTAGTAGGTTCCTCATAAGATAAGGCATAGCCACAATAAAGTATCCTGCAAAAGAGCAAACTATGTTAGTGAATAAATTCATCTGCAAGATCTCTTCCATATGGATTTGATCATAACAGATGAATGATATTGACTCCTTAGTTGTGATGTGTCCTTCCTCAAAGTTTGCTTTGGCCCCTGTATGGTTGTTTAGCTTAGGTGAATTGGTCATTTTGTTCCCCAGGCCATCAAAATCCATCAGCACATTCTGAGAAACTGCTGCATTCCAATTCTGATTGCAGCTATAACTGCTCATAGTGCAGCTATAAATTTGTGCTCTCCATGTGCTAAATTGATATAAAAAATTTGCAGCTCCCTTTCTGTGATATTGGTATGTTAATGCAAAAACATAACATCCCTTTGAATGTACACAGGAGCTTCCAAAGTTTATTGCCTTCCACGGTATTTCCATGAAGAACTGTGGACATCCTTGGTTCTATACTATGCCTTATTTTTAATTCTTCCTTCCCCCCCCCCCCCGACCCTAGTCGGTACTCGGTAACTACCGTAAGTAACTAACTACCTAACGTAGGTAGGGACTACTAC